ACAATTTAGACCCTAAGCTGGAAAATTTTAAAAGTCAAAACATAATTCTTTTTCTATTAGTTGAAATTTGAAATTTATCTCCAATTCCATTTCATATGGTCTAAATTTATCAGCTTAGAATACTCTCCTTTCATAAAGTTCCAAACACACAGATGGAAATTTTCAATAATCATGAATCGTAAAAATCAAATTAAATTTTGTATAACATGGTGTCGAATTATACTTATAGTGTTGGAATTAAAGAGTTTGTGTGTCGAATTTCACTCCTCGTTTTGATCTTGAATAATCTCTATATGTTCAAACTAAATGTCAAAATAATGAAACTATTAATGTATTATAATAATATATTTAAATGAGTGTTTGTTCTACAAGTAATTTTTTTAACATGAAATTAACTAATTACATATTGTTTCTTTTAGAAACGGGTTTTATTGGATAAATTCTTAAAAATACTTCAGAATTAAAAATTGTAATTTTGAACTTTTTCTAAAAAACTATAACTTAGGTTTTTTTAATCTAACAACGACAAGAAATTCAAAGATTGCATACAGAACCAAAATCAAATCCATGGAAGAGCGTCCCAAACGGAAGGCAAATCCAATTTTTATGCTGACGTCACTGCTGATGTAATTACATGCAGAATAATTTATTAATAAAAATCGGAGAGAAATCTCCAAGCAATTAGAAAAATATTTTTTTAGGGCAACCAAAAAATATTTTGGCTATGAAGAAAATCTATTACAAATATTATAGTAGCAAATTATCTAAGACTTCACAACTAACCCAAACAACCCAGGTTGGTATTAAATAAATAACATAATTTTCTTTCTGTTTTAATTTTTAATTTAAATTTATATTATATTTCGTTGTAAATAAGTTGAAAATTCATTAACTATTATTGCGCATACAATTCCAACAGTTTATATATGATAGGACTTCGGGCCAAGCGATTTAAGAATTAAGGCATTTATACATATTTATTTAATGAGGCCTGTGGATTGAAAAAAATATTTTAAAATGTTTTTACAATATTTCATTAATTATATAATCAATAGCAACTTATGATTTTTAAAAACACTTTAAAGTATTACTGTTTTCAAAAATTACCTCAAACTCAAGATAACACATAATTAAGCTACTCTAAATGACAAATCAATGAAAATGTAAATGATTAATAATATCCAAATATGTAAACCAAGCATTATTATATTTTGAAGGTTAGGAATTAATCTCACTATCCATCTAGATACTAATTCGTGTTAAATTAAGACTTCTGCACTTGCAGGTTATATTATATTATGAATATTACAATGAAATCTACTATTCGAGGTTTTCAAAATATCACAAAAATGATTATCTAATAATAGTCTAAGGAACCACAAGTATATGTGGTTGCTTGATTTGATGTTATTGTACTATCTGCTCTCTCACTTCTTCTTGGTGGTTGCTGGCGGCTAACACATATAAAGAAATGGAAAAACCTAATCTAAATAGGGAACACCCAAGGATTTGCTGGCAGTGCAAACTAGCCTCATGATATTATAAATGAGCATAAAAAACAATAAGATGTTTCAAGTAGCAGCGCTACGACATTCTAGGATCGTCGTATCGTTGTGGGCAACACCTATCACCGTCTTTTTAACTTGGTCATGTGCTGCATTGCTCTTTTGTTCTCTCTTTCTCTATTTATTTAGTTTGGATTTTGAAAATGACCTCAACTCCTCAGACTCCAACATGGAGTATGTACTTAGTATTTGGATAGTCACACTCAATTATTAAAAATTTAAGGAGATCACATCAAAGGAGCAATGCTACGTGGTCGTGTATGTGTATGTATATATATATATATATTTATTTATTTATTTATATGCTTGGGTGATATGCAACCCTCGTAATTAATTCACTCCATTATGACTGATTATTTTTCATATTTTTGATCCATAACGAGTCTAAAAAGAAATCGAGCCATTTTTATTGTATTTTACTCTTTTAATTATTTTTATTTACTACCATATATTTTATATTGAATATTTTGACCATCATTTTTAATTCAATTGTAATATCATAATAAGTAGACATCTAAGAAACTAACAAATTTTCAGATAGTGTATCCAATATAAAACATAGAGATATATATGAAATAATTTACGTAAAAAAAAGATTTTCAAGTTAAATAATGAAGGAGATATGAAATAATAAACAAAACTAAAAAATATACCCTAGAATGATACGAGTTTATATATATTGTTTATTTATTAGAAAAATGAAAAGAAACAAAACTTTAGTATCAGAAGAATTGTTTTTTTTTCCCTTTCAAGTACTATGAAGGTAGAAGGTTAAGATTCAAATCTCTAATCTCATAACTCACACTTGTTGAACTTATAGGTTGGCATCCAAAATTCTTAGAATTCTTCCCCTAACATTAAAAAAAGTATAACAAATTTAAGAAAATAATAGGAATAAGTACCAACTTTAGAAACTTCTGGTTTCACATATTCATTTGTATAATGGCAGTGTTCTTAAGAAACGAAATGGCCGAGAATATCAGTAAAGATAGGCTTGGAAGAATCAAATGTGTGTTATTATTTTGAAGGAGTTACCAAATCAACTAATAAAACAACAAATGACAGTTACCTAACTAACTAACTTTTTACACACGCATATATATATATATATATATATATATATATATAGCAACTATAATTTATTGATCAAAAGTTCCATGGGCCTCTTTGTCTTTTTTTTTAAGGTTATACAGCTCCCACAAGTATTTGATTCTTTTACTTTTATATATCCTAGTTTTTGCCAAAAATTTAGTGGTAATTGACATATATTTTCAATTAAGAGGCTGTGAATTTGATATTCCACCCCTTCATGTTGTGAAAAAAATTGTCCTAATTTTACTGTGAATTGGTATAAGTTTGAGCTTTATTATTATTATTTTTCAAATATTTTGACCTCATTTTTTAATATTTTAAATCTTACAAAACTCTACTTAATATGGAGCTCTAACTAATTTTTCGACATGAAAGTATTTTTATATTGGGGTTGCAAGATGTGCCAACAAAATTCCACATTGATTTAGGGAGGAGAGTCATCTATGGTATATAGATGGAGACAATTATCTTCATTGATATGAGACTTCTTAAGTGAAACCAAAAGTAAAGCGGTAAGGGTTATGCCCAAAGCAGACAATAATATCATACTATTGTGAAGATACTACAATAATTTTTTACTTTCCCGACATTTTCTTGCCTGATGCAAGTGCATTGGGCATAACTATTCTTCTGGACCGAATAAAAATCATTGGGAGATACCAAAATTCTCAAGAAGTAGTCCATTCTTGACATTTTTTTTAAAAAAAAAAAACTCCAGGAGAAGTTTGGTATCTAACTGAAACTTAAAGTTCTC